TTTTCGACAGGCGAGCTTATTACTGAATTACCACCTCGAGGACTTCTATGTGACGGAGTGGTGAACTGTGCAAAGTCAACAGCTTTTGGTTAGCTGCGAAAATTGTTGTCCGATTGGTGGCACACGTGCGTTAATTCCTTGTCTGTACTATTAACTGTAATATTGCACAACTTCATAGTTTCCGCAGTTCGTATATTAACATGGCTGGGCCACATGAGTAAATAAACGGAACAGAGGCAAAGCTTCCTACGAACGTGCAAAATAGTTACCTATTTTGGTAGGGTTTTCACAATAGGTGAAGACAAATTAAACTAAACAATACCTATCATATTATTGCATTGTCACTGAAGTTACGGTATACAAAATTTCAACTCAATCAGACATCGGGAATTGGTTCAAATGTTACTTGCAATATGTGAACTTACTCCACATACCTACATACCTAATCACCCACATACCTACAAATGTTTAGTAAAAGCTTGTAGTAACAATAAAAAGGTAAAACACGCCGTGTATTACCCTCTTCTTATTAAAAGAAGGATTATACAATAAAATAAAGGTACTTACTTGAAAAAGTAATAACCAAATATTTATTTACCTAGTACTCCTTGGGATAGTTAAAGTATGATACATTTTTATTTTTATAGTATTATCCATACACACAATACAATAAACAACCATTATTAATAATATCACGTTTTACATTAAAATATTCAAACTTGCAACTAACAAAACAAACAACGTGCGTCGCACTGACACTGAGATTGTTGTCCACTGGCTGTGCCATCGTAACCGGTTTTTTCCAGTTTCGTCGCGAACGCGACTAGCGGCCAGTGGTCACGCACACATGCCCCGCGTACTTGTAGTAGTGCAACCGATTCGCGCGGTTGTATGTATGAAGCTTTACCTCTGTTCCGTTTACTTACTCCAGTCACTGGACGAGCGGAGGCAGGTACTAAGCGATGTAACAGTAAATAAAAAAGAGCGGGGGAAATGCGCTACAAGGTAACCTTGCGAATGTGTGCGTGCATAAAATAGTAAACGTTAGATATTTATGAATAAAAGTACAAAAGTTGAAATAATGCATTACCGCGTATTTTGAATTTAAGAGATAATAATGACAGAATATTTAGGATTTTTTTAAATAAATTTTTCTTCACCATTTGTCTATATTATATACTTATACTGAACCTTCTCTGCAAATTTGGCCGGTAATTGCAAAATAACCCTGTATTTGATATAACCCTCTTTCCATGCGACCATTTAGACGAACAATCCTAGAGGAAATATTCCTAATTCAGAGAGGCAAATAAATAATATAGCCGAAGTTAGCAAAGTTTTAAGTCTGTGTTAAAAGTTTTCCTTGTGCTTAATTACGTTTTCATTTATATTCCTTTTCGTCCATCCAGTCTAAAACTGCTGAAATGATCTCAAAAGTTCTCACTGAAACATGAAATCTTACATTTTATATTCTACTGTTCAAATTTGTTTCGACGAGAAGTGCTAATTACCGGTTTTTATTATACTTATTTCATATTATAATGACTGAGCTAAATAAAAAACATAAATCCACTTAAATTAATAATATGAGCGGATGGCGTCTAGTGCTAATCTCGTAATTTTGGAAATTATGCGATAGTATACTCTTTCGATAACAAATACCAATGTCAGAAATATTCCGTTAAAATATGACCAATTTTAATACAATATTTATTTTATAATAAGGTTGACAAACTGAGGGTCGCTCACGTACACCAAAAGCACTACGGATGCAACTGTAGGCTTACCGTTACCACTACCGTTACAGCTTATTAAGGTCCACTGATGAACATAGTCCTTCCTCATAGATTGCCTTATAGGGGGATATTCGCCATAGTTGCCACGCTTAGCAAGCGTGTTATGGCAGGATCGGTCTCCTGACAATCGATCCTCTCTGCTTACCCCGCATAAAGCATTTCTTTCAACAAAATGTTTAATTTTTTACGGTTTACAATAACATAACAAAATTATAATGAGCAAGAGCCATGCTGCAGATATATTAATTGTATAGTTGTAGCACGAATAGGTCGGCTCGACCGGAGAAGGACCACGCTCTCACAGAATAGCAGCGTAAAATAGCAGCTTAATGCTGCTGTTTTTCGTATAGTGAGTGTAGAAAAACGGAGACCCTTTTTACTGTAAACGAGGCATTCGATCTTAGTCCTCACGGGTGACAACACATCTGCATTTTGATTCTCAAACGGGGATAGATATAGATGTTTATGGGCCACAGCAACCACTTACCATCGGGTGGACTGTGTACTCACTTGTCACTCTTATCTTATAAAAAAGGCGTCTCGTAGCTTTGACATTTACACCCCTTTAGCTACCTGCACTGTAATGTATTTTGTACCTTAGTATTTATCATAGACGTTTCATATACTTAGACACAGTATATAATGGGGTGATGGACTTATGTCATTGGCCTTTTGTTTGTGTTTGTCACAAATCGTTTTGATTAGATTATTTGTACTCCCGGTAGATTACATTGAGTCAATATATCATTTTTTATTAAAATAAATGTTCTAAGCGAAAGTCCTAGTCGTCTTTTATTTAGGAAGAAAAAGAAATTACCAATATTTCTTTTTTATAACATAATAAATCTTCAAATTCAGTAATCAACTGAATCTCAATTAAAGGAAACGATTGCGATACTTTCCAGAATGGAAGGTATGCGTTATCGCGAAAGTCCGGGGCGGGTCGGGATATTGTCTGTCGAATTGAAGCTGACGTGAGCACCTGGCTCTTTTCGACGAAATTAAAAAAGTTTTTAGCTACATAAGAAATTCGCAGGACTCGTTTATTTAAATGATAAGGGAGTCTGTGTTAGTTTTCATTTTGAGTTTTATCATCCACATAAAAAAACTTTTAACACTTTACTCTTAAACGTCTTTTGTAGATAAAATAAATATTTTGTAAAATTACGCTCGTGCGCTCATGTATTTTGTATTGTGCGTGACGAGAAATAGGTACATAAAGAAGTGTATCATCTTTGTCCTCTGGGGTATATATGGTCGTTTTTTTTATTTTTAACAGGTGTCTGTGGATGTTAGAACCATAAATATTGAACATAAATAATGAATAAACATTCAGATCTGGAGTAATTACTTGAAAGCCAAAGTACTTATTTATAGTTAAATCCCTCGGTCTGCAGCACTGCTGACAAACAGCCACTGCACTAACTGGGTCCGTTTAAATCTTTACATTTGTTTAATTGTGTAGATATTTTTATGCAGGATAGGGTAACAAACGAGTAACACAGTCCACCTGATGGAAAGTGTTTGCTGCTGTGATTTATAGACATCTACATCTATCCTCAATAAAGAATCAAAATGCAGGTTTGTCACCCATGACAACTAAGATACAATGCCTCTTTCCAGTTTCTTTTGCTGTTTCTCCTATGGACAGTGGAACCTCATTTTGAAGTGATCCCTAGTAATATGGTATATTAGAGAGAAAATAAATGAAAACTTTAATGCGCGTGTGGGGTATTGCATTTATGTTTTCAATTTTGATAATGCAGTATTATTTGCCCAATAAATAACATTGCAAGCTAACGGGTCAAGTGTGATATTATCCTTTTTCTATATCGTGTTTCTTTCTTCTTATTCATAATTAATGGTTTTTCCAACTAGAATGCTGTACGCCTTCATAAAAGGTATTATATCTTAAATAAATTATCGTGAGAATCGTGGTGATTATGACAGAACCCCATTTTTATAAGAAAGTCCTAAGACCAGTGGTTGACTTTTAAAGATTGATATTTTTTATAGTATAAGGGGGACAAACGAGCACACAGTCCACCTGATGGAAAGTGGTTGCTGCTGTGATCCATAATGATGATGCATTTTGATTCTTTATTGAGGATAGATGTATAAGTATCTATCCTCAATAAAGAATCAAAATGCAGGTTCGTTGTCACCCATGACAAATAAGATGGAATGCCTCTTTTTCAGTAAAATGGGGCTCCGGTTCTCTACACTCACGATATGAAACACAATAGTGTTAAGCTGCTATTTTACGCTTGTATTCTGTGAGAGCGTGGTCCTTCCCCGGTCGAGTTGACCCATTCGTGCTACAACTATACGAGTACTATATATGTACTAATATAGCTGCAGCATAGCTCTACAACGTATAAAATATATGTATATCATATTAAAGTTGACTGACGCGACAGTTAGTACGTATGTCCGCGCTAATCTCAGTTACTACTTTAGGGATTTTAATTCGGTTTTTAGCAATGGATAGACTGGTTTACGAGCAAGGAAAAAAATATGAATGGTTTGTGCAAATTATTATTGTTTTAATGATATTTGTCATAGGGCACAAGTCGTAGTGTAGTCATGCGAAGAGATTTTTTTGGTATGATAATATTATATCTCTAAAGGAATCTCAAATATTCAAATTTTGCGTTACTTAGTTTGACTTTTATTTAAAATTAATTTTAGTACCTTAGTGCTTTGTTTAACCCAAGTTATTGAAGTTCGGAGACTTGGATGGGATTGTAGATATCCAAAGGTTGTATAGTAAACTGTTTATAGGCATCAGGAGTCACTACAGGATATGTGAGTGGAGATACTTAGTGAAACCCATGCGAAGAAGGGACAGTTCGATAGTATTATTTAAATATGAGGAGATATAAATAAAAATGGTACGTATTAATCACACATTTAATAGTAAACAGTGTCTTTCTTACATAATAGAATCCACAATATAATAAAGTAAATTAGTTTTTAGTTTGTGATAAACACATTACACCTGAAGCATGTTACGTATGAAAATTACATGATATTCTATATTCCACTTGTAATATTTATGAAATGTTAGTGTTTCATGATGATTCAATTATAAATTATAATATTTTTTTTCTTAGTATTAGTACTACTAACAGTTTCTGTGTATTTTAATTACTTAAATTTATAAATCATACGCAACATATAATTTCAATGGTCAATAAATATTTAAGCACATCCCATTTGTTTGATCCATTTTTGAATATCTGGGTTGCATAAATTGCTGTAAACACCTGGTGTATTAGGCCTTGCACATCCTGCACCAAACGATACAACTCCCACTTGTGTTTTAGATCCAGTTCTAACTAGTGGTCCACCTGAATCACCCTGTAGAAGTAATGTAAGCGATGAAGTACTAAACGATATTTTTATTATAACCTTACAAAAATATAATGTAATTGTAGAAACTATTAATATGTTTTATTTGATTCAAGGCGAAACTTTTGTAAAATGTTCTTCATAGCAATTATAATTTGCTTAGAACTTAAAAACCTTTATCTTCATTGAGTTATATGTACTACGTACTAGAGAAGCCATTTCAAACAAAAACTGTGTCCTACTCTATGTTTTCGCGCATGCGCGGTAATAGTAGTCGCGCATGCGCGAAGACTTTATTTTGATATAAAATAAGATATTAATCTATACAAATAAATAAAATTGAAGTGTCTGTTTGTAATATTAAAATAACAGCTTTTTACTAAACGCATATGAAATTAAATACGGTACTTATAACAAAAACACAATTTTTTAAATTTTTGTCTGTCTGTCTGTCAGTCTGTCTGTCTGTCTGTTTGTTCCGGCTAACCTCCGAAACGGCTGGACCGATTTCGACGGGACTTTCACTGGCTGATAGCTGATGTTATAAGGAGTAACTTAGACTACTTATATTTTAGAAAAAGAATTGGGTTTCCGCGCAACATAATTAAAACCATAAATTAAACGCGGGCGAAGTCGCGGTGAACAGCTAGTATAAAATAAATACAAGAATTTAATATAAAATATCTTAATTTCATCTAAACAAACAGGTTATATTTCTAAATAAAATGTAATAATAATTATTTTATGGAATTCACAAATCTTCAATTTACGCAATATTTAGTTTGTAGGGATTGCACTACAGTTCAGTTGAACATAGTCAATGTTCGAAATGGCTTCTCTAGTACGTAGTACATATAACTCAATGTTTATCTTACATGCATAACATATTTAGATATATTATTTATCTTAAAGATGTACATTGTAGATATAAAAATATTTTCAAATTCGAAATAAGTAGCGGTGTAATAAATAATATCATAAAATAAAAATGGACACCAGTAAACAAAATATTTAAAAATTAAAGGGACATACAAGAGCACGCATAAGGGAATCTTACCCTTAAAAGTAAAGTAAAGTTGCAGCCTATTTACGTCCCACTGCTGGGCACAGGCCTCCTCTCATTACTGAGAGGGTTTTAGGGCAAGGAAATGTCCGCCGCGCTGCCCCAATGCGTGTTGGCGAACTTCACATGTCTTCGAAAATATTTTTTTTCTTATTTCTCAGACATGCAGGTTGCCTCACGATGTTTTCCTTCACGCCGCGCACGTGGTAAATCAGCACTTAAAATTGCAATTTACAATTTCATTGGTGCCGGCGGGGATCGAACCCGGGTTGCTCGAGTACTGTGAATCTTACAGCGAGCGCTAACCATCTGAGCTACCACGGCTCTTATCTAAAATTAAATCAAATCAAATATCTATTAAATCAAATATTTAGTTCTATTAAATATTTGATTTAATAGAATAATGATGACAAACGAAAACACAGTCCACTTATTTGTAAATGGATGCTGCGGCTCATAGACACCTACATCTATCCTGGATTAAGAATCAAAATGCAGATGCGCTATCATCACTGAGGGGAATAATCAGTGCCTCGTTTCTAGTGAAAAGGGTCTCCGGTTCTTTACAGTTACCAAACGAAACACAGCAGTTAAAAACTGCTATTTTACGCTAATATTCTGTGAGAGCGCGGTCCTAGCGCGGTTGAGCCGACCAATTTTGTGATACAACAAAATATAGCTGCAGGCTTAGATTTTAAAAGTTAAATCAGAATCCAGTTTAAGCAACACACCCATAATAAAAACTGACGAAAAATAGAAAGAATACATACCTGGCACGAATCTTTTCCACCTTCAGGAACACCAGCGCAAATCATTCGCGGAGTTAAATTTGAATATGATTGTTTGCACTCATCGTCGGATACTGCATTAATATTAACAGCCATTAAAGTGTCACTCGTGTCTCCGTTTTCCTAAAATAAATTGCAATTGATTTGATTGATAGAAAAATTATAAATTTAAGTAATATGTGTATTCAAACCGTTTTAAAAATCGTGGGAAATGAGAACTCAAAAATTATGATTAGTACTTATTTTATGGAAACCGACGGGGAGGGCCTCGGATTCTCTGCGTACCGTGAAATTAAAAACGTAGTATCAACCCCTTAGCTGTCACGGTTCAGATAATAAGTCTACTAGATATTAAAGATGTATCTGATCCATTTTAAACCATTCTGACTACTTTCAAATAATCGAAAACTGTCAATATCATGTATATTTACAAACAGGATATGATTTGATACGACGACGACGACGTTATATGAGGCACTTACTATATTTTTTTTATAGAATAAGGGTGACAAACGAGCACGCAGTCCACCTGATGGTAAGTGGTTGCTGTATCCCATAGACATCTACATCTATCTTCGTTTGCGAATTTGCAGATGCGTTGTCAGCCGTGAGGACTAAGATAGAATGCCTCTTTTCCAGTAAAATGGGTCTCCGGTTCTCTACACTCACCATACGAAACACAGCAGCATTAAGCTGCTATTTTACGCTTGTATTATGTGAGATCGTGGTCCTTCCCCAGTTCAACCGACCCATTCGTGCTACAACTGTACTATTAACATAGCTGCAGCATGGCTCTACCACGTAATAATCATATAACGCGTATGTTTTTTTTTTTAGGTTAGGTTAGATGTAGTGCCGGAGACATGGAATAATCACTATATAACTGAACTAGAAATTCAACATTTCGTGTTTTCCACAAATATAGACTGGAATATATGTAACTTAAACCAATAAGACACGACTATGGCAACGGTGATGCCTTAAACACCGGCCGATTGGTTAGACAAGCCTGAAGCCTGAATGCTTTGAACTTCAGTTGAACCTTGCGCAAGCGCAGTTTTATCTTTTGCTTCTTTATGGAAACAAAACTTCGTATCTGAACCTGTTACTCTGCAAAATAACATACTCTAAAATTACTTCAGATCAATCAACCAGCACTGAATCGCAGTGGAATTCCCACTTGCTTTTCAAAGAAGGAGACGAGGCATGCAATATATTCCTCCAAGCAATGGAATATTTATAGATTTCGTTTTACTTTTACCTTATAAGATTTTAGGTGATAAAACAAATGCGCGCAAAATTAAATAATAAATCACTAACTTTACTTACACTGGTATCACCCCAACCTGTGACAGTCAAGTTTGTCCCCGGAGATACAGCGCAATTACTCGAAGGCAAGTTAATCGTTGTAGTATTTCTGCCATCTATCGTAATGCGTCTGAACAGTTTAATTACAGCAATGTCGTAGTCACTAGTCCTAGCGTTGTATTTTGGATGTCTAACAAGTATTCTTGAACTGTATGTTTTGCCGCCGCTTGCAACGTCGGAGCTTCCCACTCTTATATTCACTGACTCCATTCTGTTATAAAATTATTTATTAATTTAGCCCTTTCTTAACAAACATAAAAAGTGAGAAAATATATCAAATTATTATTCATGTACCTACTGATTGACTGATGAACTGAGTTGAATTGAACGCTATTATGTTTTCTCTGAATGCGTAGGTACCAATATATTCTTATAGTACATAATATATAAGAAAGGGTAACAAATGAACACACAGTGCAGATGATGGTTACCTGTAGCTGTGGCTCATGAACACCTACCATGGGTAATAATATACATATACTCCATATGTATAATATACTATACTAGTAATATAGGTACATAATACTAACACTAACACGACAGTATTATACTGCTAATTAAAGTTAGTATTCAAAGACAAAGCTAAAAAGGAGAAACTGGAAAAAGGTAAAAGACAAAAAAGAAAGATAAAAATAATCTATACCCAGTAACACAATGGGCTGCCGTGAGAACACATCGCTGAGTAACAATTGATCCTCCACACTGGTAATAGTCACCAGTTCCCGCTTGCGTCAGCAACAGGTATACTTGGTAAGGGTAAGATTGGATAGTAGTTTCGCTGCCCCCTACTATCTTACCATCAGTCGTCTTATGAACTTTACGTGGGCCATGGTTTTTACCGCTTACACCTGAAAAAGTTAAAATAGAATTTTAAAAACCGTCTTAACCCCAATTTAAAAAACACATATTTTATTTACTTGTCTAAACATGTAAATAAAATATGTAGTAGAATATCTATTTCTAATTAATAATGAAAGTAGTAGTATTTAGTAACCAGCTTGCAAACAGTCCACAGCTAAACACGGGCCTCCGTACAGTAGGAAGGACTTGCTACGCTACGCAAATTAATTGACAATTTTAGTAAAATGACTCAGAGCTTCTCCACGTCATCAGTGTGGGTATTATTCTTAATACGGTTGGTTTTACAACCATTGACCACACGGGACCACAATACCTTTACTTTACTGAAACTTTTCTAAGCCACCCTATACCACACGACGCCGTAAAAGGGGGTGAGATGGAATCTTTTAACCGCCACCACACAGTGGTTTATATAACTTTAAGCCCTATACGTATAATACGCACCCAAGATGGCAGAATAAAAGACGATCACTAGTAACGAAGTAAATAGTTGATCCATTGTCGTTGTGAAATTGGAAGTCTTTCATTTACAATGGCGATACATCCTTAAATACTAAATATTGTATAATCATCGCAAACGATAATTACTGTATAAGGTTATGGAGACAGTAAACTATATACAATCATAGCTATAATGTGCGTTTGTATGATAAGAATGACATTAAAACTAATCTTTAACCCTATGCCTATAATTTTCCGAAATTGGTTGCAATTCGCAGCAATTAAATAAATGCGGAAGCGAGTTTTGTGAAGAACTTACCTCGTCTAAGATAATAACCACAATGTTTATTTATGTATTAGTAAGTCCTTGGTAAGTAGTATAAAGGTGTATATATCTATATTAAGAATAATGACTGGTTTATACGTATCAAGTAATTAACGAGATTTCAAATGAATACTCCACCCTGTAATGGCGGTTAAGAATATCCACTACCAAGATATAAGTAATAGTAAGTAGTAAGTAAGTAAGTGCTAAGAGTGCATGTCGTAAGAAGCGATAATCGGAAACAAATCAAGAGATGGGCAGCAGCGTCTTCCTAAACGACTAATAATTAAAATACCTGCGGTTGACGACCCGCCTGCCAAGCAAGGCAACTATGGCAAATATCCCTCTATGTGTAAATTTATGGGAGAAGCCTATTTTTAGCAGTGAATTTATCAAAATTTTCAAATGAAAAAGCTATAAACACCTAACCTTAATACATTTAGGTAGAGCCATGCTGTAGCTATATTATGGTTGGAGCAAGAATGAGTCGGCTCGACCAGGGAAGGACCACGCTCACACACATCCATCATCATTACAGCCCTTCACAAGTCCACTGCTGAACATATACCTCCCCCAAGGAATGCCACAAAGCATGGTCCTGAGTCATCTGCATCCATCGACTTCCTGCATGTCTTACCAGGTCATCACTCCATCTAGTGGGGGGACGCACTACACTTTGTTCGTTGGTACGAGGCCGCCACTCGAGAAGTTTTTTCCCCATCGGTTGTCGGTTCTTCGAGCTATATGGCCGGCCCACTGCCACTTCAGCTTACTAATCCGTTGGGCTATGTCGGTCACTCTGGTTCTACCGCGGATATCCTCATTTCTAAGTTTATTACGCAGAGAAACCCCGAACATAGCCCTCTCCATAGCTCGCTGAGCGACCTTGAGCTTCCTCATCCGGCCAGCAGTGAAGGACCACGTCTCAGTTCCATAGGTAATCACTGGCAACACGCACTGGTTGTACAGTCTCGTTTTCAAGTTTTGAGGTATACCTAACGAGAAGATGTGCCGTAATTTCCCGAATGCTGCCCAACCGAGTTGAGTCTGTCGATTGACCTCTCGGTCGAAGTTGGACTTACCTAGTCGGATTATTTGTCCCAGGTAAACATACTTGTCAACAAATTCTAGCTTAGTGCTCCCAACAACTACCGGCATAGGTATGTTTTGTCAATGTTCATCTTAAGACCAATCCGTTGGGAGGCACTATTGAGATCATTGGGCATAGTGATTAGGTCTTCCAGCGATTCTGCCATAAGGATTATATCGTCGGCAAATCGAAGGTAAGTGATGTACTCGCCGTTGATGTTAATACCGAATCATTTCCAGTCCAGAAGATTAAAAACGTCTTCCACTGCAGCGGTGAATAGTTTCGGGGATATAACGTCACCCTGTCTTGCACCTGTCTGCAGTTGGATAGGTTTCGTACTCTGGTTCTGTACACGGATAGCCATCGTAGCCCTACTGTACAAACACTTTAGCACTTCGATATACAGAGAGTCAACTTGGCACCGCTGGAGGGACTGCAGCACTACCCAAATTGTGAGTGATGTACTCGCCGTCGATGTTAATACCGTGTCCTTTCCAGTCCAGAATATTAAAAACTTCTTCCAATGCAGCGGTGAAGAGTTCCGGGGATATAACGTCACCCTATCTTATATGTCTCTGCAGTTGATTAGGTTTCGTACTCTAGTTCTGTACTCGGATAGCCATCGCTCTACTGCACAAACACTTCAGCACTTCGATATTACTCTACGGGGTAGTGCCATGCTGCAGCTATATTAGTAGTATAGTTGTAACACGAATGGGTCGGCTCGACCGGGGAAGGACCACGCTCTCACAGAATACCAGCGTAATATGCATAATATAGTGATTGTAGAGAAGCGGAGACTATTTTTACTGGAAAAGAGGCATTCCTTCTTGGTCCGTACGGGTGAGAACGCATCTGCATTTTGAGTCGAAAACGAGGATAGATGTAGATGTCTATGGGTGACAGCATCCACTTACCATCAGGTGCACTGTGTGCTCGTTTGTCACCCTATCCTATAAAAATATATATATATATATATATATATATATATCGACAGTCAACTTGGCACCACTGAATGGACTGCAGCACCGTCCAAACTTCGGTGGAATTAAAGGCTTTCTGATAGTCCACACACGCCAGACATAGTGGCAAATTGTGCTCCTCGAACTTCTGTAAAATTTTCCGAAGAGTATATATGTGATCTATGGTGCTAAAGCCTTTTCGGTAACCGCCTTTTTCGGGAGGATAGAAGTCGTCGAGTCTGTAAACACTGTCTTTTATTTAAGTTATTTATGATAGTTGGCAGCATGCCATTTCGTATAAGACAGATATAACATACCCAAATCGGTGACACTGAGCAGTGGGAAATGAGCGAGAAATCAAGTTTGGAGATTGCCAATCTATCTACTAATCGTGAGGATTACAGCAAGTCCTTTCTACTATGCGATAAGCCTATGCAATGCCAATTTATTAGTATATTTAATTTGTATTGGTTTAATTAATGATGAGATTTTTATTCAATTTAACAGAAATTTTTAACGAGTTACATAGCTATATTTTATCTTCTTTATCCAACATAAAAGAGTAAGCTCATAGGTCTGCTGCACTGCACTGGAGGGTACAGGCCTCTATCCATTTTGGAGAAGGTTTTGGGTTAATAAAGAGTGCTGCTCTAAATACATGTTGATGGACTTCATATAGTATGGAGGTTTCCTCACAATATTTTTTACCCTTATCAATTTTTTCTCGAAACAAAGTTTTTATTTACAACGCACAACATAAATAAAGAAAAAAAAAGGAAATCATACAAGATTTTTGTACCTAAAATTTGCGCTGTGTGGCGACCGCGTAAGCATATCCACTCCCAATATCACCCCTTAAGTGCCGTAAAACTTTTATAGCACTCACGGGATGATACGGAGACATCTTTTACGGTAAAAGACGTCAGAGGGAAACTGAAACGAGATGAGCACTAGCACCAAAAATAATTAAAACGCGGTTTTAATTATTTTATTGCCAAACAATCGTGCCAACTATGGCAAGACCGTTCATATAATCAATCTATGAGGGAAACCTATGTTCAGCAGGATTTTTGATAGGCAGTAATGGATGAACAATACTTTAGACAAAAAGAGAAATTTATTTTCAATATAAATTTAATTCAAATATCTGGTGAAAAATGCAGCAAAAAATTTACCACATTCGAATAAAAGCAAAACAATTATCCCAACTTAAATAATTAAATAAAAATGTTACTTTAAATATAATGTTATGATTGTTCGATGAATATTGAATATCCACAAAGTTTATTTTTAAATAAAACACTGTTGTGGACATTCACAATTATAATACAAGCTGACGCCAAGTGATTCAGAAAGCTCAATGTCGAAACTATTTTGAAAGATTTATTCAATTCATGCAAAAAAAAAGAAAAATGAAACGATTGAATAGGATTTGATTGTTAGCGATATTCAATGGACGTTTATGTAGTGGTTTATAAAGATGTCCTTCCGCATTATTTGATGTCGTGGTAGGTTAAGGCCAACATAGTGC